AATGAATTTTCGCATACGTAAAGATCGAATATAAGATTATTATTATTTTTAAATAGAGCAACATTTTAATTAGATTGGTAGGAGTTTGATTTTATGAGATAGTCACGCTGTTCATGGTTCATGCTACATGATGATTTATCACATGAGTATTGAAGTTTGAAGTTAAAAATGGGTTATTGAAGTTTGATGAAGTTGACAGTGGGTTGTTTAAAAATATATCTAAATATCTTTAGTTAAAATGAAAAATAAATTAGTTTTGATAGAATAAAAATCTTTTATTTATGTTTTAATTCTTATATTACAATTTTTTTTATATATAGAGAATTCACGAATAAAAATAGATCATTGTAATATCATATTCTATTTTAATTATATATGTATAGTTGTGATATATATCATTAAAAAATTTAATATATGTTGTTTTGTTGTTTTTAGCTTATGTGAAGTGGAAGTTAGAGTTGAGATAATTCCAAGCTTAAGCTATAAAAGATATAACTTAAGTGTGTAAGAGATGGTTTCAAGAAGAGTTGTGGTATATAAGACAGATTCTGAAAAAGAAATTTCATAAGTTCATAACTTTAAATTTTTATAGATGAGTTAGAAAGAGGTGTCCTCAAGAATCAATGGAGTTCGATCTTCGATCTGATTTCATTGAAAGATATATTTTCTTCTCTTGATAGTTAGTTTGTATGGTAGAAGCTAAGATTCAAGCTAAGGAGTTGCAAATCTTGGAAAGCAATCATCATACGAGAGTTTGAGATTCTCAAGTTTTCTTTCCAATTCAAGGTAAGGAAAGTTTGTGATTGATGAATAGTTAAGTTATACCGATTATATGTTATCGAATACCTCATTTTAATGGTTGTGTTTGGGCTGAATCAAGAGAAGTAAGTTATTGCTTATATGAGTTTTTGAAGAGAATTGGTGATTCTTAACTTCAATGTTTTCATGTTGTTGTTTGTGCTGGAGTTGAATCACATATATGGTATGTAAGGTGGAATTGTGATTGCATGTTTGAGCCAATTTGATGATTATGCCAAGTGCATAAATCCTCATCACGTTGAGCGTGGCTCAAGTTAGAGACTCTCTACCTCGATTACGTTGAGCATGAGATTGTAACACCAAGCGTGGATCACTGAGAAATCTTATGACTTAGTCACGTCAAGTTTGATTGTTCGAAGAGCTTTTTAGCTTAGTGATGTTGGGCCGAAGATGAGTGACGTCAGACATGATTAAGATAGAAGCTTTTTGCCTGGACGATGTCGAGCACAAGTTTAGTGGTGTCAAATGTGAGTTGGGCAGAGGCTTTCGACCTGAAATGAGGCAGGGCGTAGGTTTAGTCACGCCAAATGTAATTGACTTGAACGCTCTCTACCTCATTCGCACCAAGTGCAGGTGGTTTGATGTTGGGTGTGGACGAGCTAGAGATTAACACGGAGCGCGAGAAGAAAGACATCAAACATGATTTATGGATAAAAAACTTAATGAGAATTTACCTAAGTGTTGAGACACATGTAGTATAATGTTTTCTTAAATGCTATATGATGTTATATGATTGTAAACCATTATGCATTGATATATAATAAGGCATAATGATATTTTAAGTTGCTAAGTTGTAAGTTGATAATTGATTGAAGTTGACTAAGTTGTAAGATGTATATTGTTTGAATTTGTTAAGTTGTAAGTTGACAATTAATAAAAGTTGATTAAGTTGTAAGGTGTATATTGTTTGAAGTTGTTAAGTTGTACGTTGATAATTGATTGAAATTGATTAATTTGCAAGGTGTATATTGTTTAAGTTGTAAGGTGTATGTTGTTTAAATTTGTTAAGTCGTAAGTTGACATTTGATAGTAGGTGATTAAGTTGTAAGGTGTATATTGTTTGAAGTTGCTAAGTTATAGGTTGATAATTGATTGAAATTGATTAATTTGCAAGGTGTATATTTTTTGAAGTTGTTAGACATATAGTAATGTGATACATGTTTCTATTGAAATACACAAACCTAGAGAAAAGATGTTTTTCAAAAAATTTCATATCTCATTGTATAGATATCAATTGTGGTACTCAAAGAGACCCAAGTTGAAAATCCTTTGATGAGTGGTTGTCTCCTAAATAGGAAAGTGTTTGTAAGTTGTCTCCTCTAAATTCTATGAAGAATTGTACGGGAGTTAGGTTGAGTCATATGTGTATAAAGTGACTAATTGAGCAAGGTATGAAGTTGAAGGTTAAAATCCTTGACCAATTTCTAGAAAAATGTGTAGTATTTGAAGGGTAGTCGACAAGTTAACCTCATAGAAGACTTAGTAATGCATGCTAAGGTTGTGATAGATTCACACCTAAGTTATTTTACCTTAACAATAGTGATAGACTTTCCTAATTTAAGTGAAAAAAACCTGAGAAATCAATTCTAATCACCATGCCATCCATTTTTTTTAGTTTTATATTAGTCGCTAATTCTGGTCACTATGTCAACCGTTGTTTCTAGTTTTATGCCAATCATTGTGATTTGATAAAGTTAAGTCACTGAAACTGTTCATCGTTGTTATAGGAGATCTCCATAAGTTAATATGTGTGATGACACATCAATTGTTTATGTTGTTCAATTGTGTTTAGAGTTGTTCAATTGCTTATCAATTACTTATAAGTTATTTATTCAATTGCCTTGTTGACTTTTAGTTGCTCATTTGTTAGTTAATTATTCTCGGTTGTTTCTGTTGAACAGAGATGGATATTATTAAAGTTGTTGTTAGACTTTTAAGTGAAAAGCTAACTTGTTGCTAAAGTTGTATATGTTGTTATAAGTTTATTTCTTATATTTGTTGATATGTTGTTTTCTTTCACAATTTTACTCTTGCTCTTTCATATTATTTAACTGCAATGATCATATTTGGTATGAAAGTAAAACAATATTATATTAGAGGGCACATTTAGTGGATGGTCATGTTAGAGATGACCTTATTTTTTATTGTGTTGTTCTAATACAAGAGTCATTTTTTAGACACTTGATTGGTGCTACAATGTTTTGTATTAGTATTTTATACTTTATATGTATTTGTATATATGTATAGAATTTTATTGTAATCTCATAGTGTAGTTGAATCCTTTATGTTTTTCACTGTATAGTTGCACTATATTAAGTATAGTAACCTAGTATGTTGTTAAAATCAAGCCCCTCTTAATAAATGTATTTTTACAAAATACAAATACAAAATAACTCATAATTGGTATCAAATCTGCCCGTTGGATTCAATGACAACTAATAACCCATAACAACAATAATAAAAATGCAATATAAAGATAGATTATGCTGAATGAGATAGTTAAATTTTTTGTTTGAGGAAAAGATTGTTAAGATACAAACCAAGAGAAAAAAAATAAGAGTTTATAAAATACACACATACTCCATTAATTAGAAGCCTTTTACGGGATGACTAAAAATAAAATCATGAAAGCTCATATATAAAGCAAACAATATCAAACCAATGTGAAATTGTGTGTAAACACCAAATAAATAAAAATATATAATTTTCTCTTGATAAAAATATATCTATAACCCAAAAAATAATGACCAAATAACCTTCACAAGTTTGTATGTCAAAAACCTTCCTAACAACGGTGTAAAAGTCAAGTGACATATTCTATTGACAGTAGTTAAAGATGTATAAGTCTTTCCAATACTCATAAAGTGAAGAAAATAAATGTTGCATAGCAAAAAAATGATTGTGACACATCCATAATAGTAAGAATCAAGGAAATTTAAAAAATTTTAATTGAGAAAAAATTGTTAGTATAATAATTAAAACTTCTAATTTCAAATATATGAAACATTGTTTAGATATAAAAATATATTATCCTTTTATTAGGATGTTGTTTAGAATTAAAATATTATATTAATTTTAGACATTTATTTCTTTTATACAATATACACACACATGATTATTTTTTGTCTTGTATTTATTTTTTTAGCTATTTTTCTTCTTTTTTATACACCAATAATATTATATTATCCATTTCAATACTATAAAATATATTAAATAATATATACACAAACTAATATTATATTATTTATTTTAGAATTTTACTATATTTTTTCATCTAATAAATATAAATTTTAGTATTCAATAAATATAAAATAAATTAGTATATATTAATATTATATTATAATATTAATTATTTTCATTAAATAAATACATTATTTATTAATTTAAAACTATATTAACATTAAAAAAGAAATTTTAAAAACAATTTCTTCAAGTAATAATGTTATATTTAATATAGTGATCCAATTATAATTAGAAAAAAACTAAGTGACTGTGTGGTTTAAAAATGGTGGTCTTTCCTTGCCATGTCACATGTCTGGATTGGACATTATAGGAGGTAAAAATATAATTAGTTTATTTTATTAAAAAATTTATATTAATAATGTACTCTTAAATTCAATTCTCACGATCATTTTTGTAACTTTTATATCCTTTGAAAAAAAAATATGTTTAAAAGATAAATTTAATTAAAATTAAACAATGATTTGTAGTTAACGAAAATATATTTTTACATAGCAGATTTGATGACGATAATAATATCACTAATATGAGCATGTCTGGAACAATAAAATCATTAGATGTTAGCTGTAATTTTTAGAATTTATTTTTGGAAAAATAATCAATATATTTGGGGGCATGAAACCTAATTACAAAATATAATTTCACTAAATCTGTTTAATGAAAAATTAATTTTATGTATTTAAATACATTTGAATAACCTCAAGTGTGTGGTTAAGTGGTAGGAGTTGATCCACGCTTAAGCAATGTCAGGGGTTCGAATCCTGCCTTGTGTGTGCAGTCGCGTTAAATCTTGGGACTAGTTATCCTACCTTTTGAGGTGCCTCTAACGTAGCGAGGAGATTAATCACTAGTGTTGAATGGACAACAAAAAAATACATTTGAATAATTAGAATCATAATTTTTATAATTTTTTTATTTTTTATTTTTTAAAAAAGCATTTGAATTAAATCCCTAGTCACGCGCGAGACTCACTGAGTGAGTGGAGAAAATTCTAGGGTTTAATGGAGATTGAGAGAGGTGATGGACGGAGTCCGAATCAACTAAGACCCCTGGCCTGTTCCAGTTCCATCCTGCATCGTGCCCATGGCTCCGCCAGTTGGGTTCAAGGAGAAACCAAGGTGCTTGCGGCTGTTTATGGGCCCAAAGCTGGAACCAAGAAGAATGAAAACCCTCAAAAAGCATCCATTGAAATTATTTGGAAACCCAAGACTGGACAAATTGGTTCCACCTTTAATTTACTCAGCTCAATTCCATCTTTTTCATTTTGAAGAACTGAATTAATTTATATTTTTTTTTCATTGTTTAGGAAAAGTGGAGAAGGAGTATGAGATGATATTGAAGAAAACCCTGGAAAGCATTTGCATTCGAACTATATATCCCAACACCACCATTTCGGTTATAGTCCAGGCAAGTTTTGTTCTCTCTTGTTAGATTCGAACAACATGGTGGTGCAATGCAATGCAACTGCCTCTTTGCTTTTACTCTAATTTTGGAGAACGACTGTGCTGCTCTGTGGTTCTTTTTTGTCAACAGTTATCGGTTTAAATTGGAACTTTTAATTTGTTGCCTTAGCATAGTTATTGCCGTTGTTGGTTGCTTTGTAGATAATTATGTGACGTGTTGTTTGTGGTTAACTGAAAACATTTTTATTTGTTTACCTTCTGTTTTCGTTCCTACTGTAGGTTGTCCACGATGATGGTGCTGTATCCTTCTTAAAAATTCAGTTCTAATATGATTTATATGGTAACTTTTTCTTCAAGGATATGAGATTGCCTGCTTTTGCTGCAACCTTCTCTTTTAATTTGGCAATTCTTCAATTTGTGAATAACTTGCCTTTTTGATTTCTTGTGACTTGCATGACAATGTATAATGATTTTACTGACAATCTGTACACCATTGTGTACATGCATGAGTGAAGTTTCATCCCTTTATTTTTAATTTATTCTATTTAATACATCAGATCTTTCAGCCACTTCCCTTTCAAATTTTGACCCTTTTGATTGGCATAAAAATGGAGAATTTATATTTTTCCCTGATGTCCACACTCAACACAATTACGTTATTTTTACACTTCAGGTTCAATGGTCAACTATCAGAATGGGTTGTGGGTAGTGGACGGTGTTCAGTCATTCTGTTCAGGGGCGAGTTATTACTTTTTTAGGACAATGAAGGAACAAATTAGATTACCATCAATTCCATTAAATATATACACTTCAGTTTGATTATATTGTTTATTACATAAGGGGTGGATACCTAAAGAGATCATTAGTTAATACATGTGCTTCTGGATCTTTTGCTCCTTTTTCTTGACTTAATATATAGCTTCTTCCATGTGCAATAAATGCATCATGTGCTGCACTTGTAGATGCTGGAATTCCCCTAAAACATCTTGCTGGTAATGTAGACTTGTGGGTTATTGTCTTTTGGTTTATTTCTATGAAAATTAATGATTTCTCATCCTTGTCTCTACAGTAGCGATATGTTGTTCTGTAACAGATAGTGGTTGTATTATGCTGGACCCAACCAAAGGCGAAGAGGAGGTGAGTAGAATATTTTTAGGTTAATTTAAAGTGTTATTTTATCTTCACCGATTATCTAGTAAATTTAGTCAGCTGAATAGAATGCGATGTACATTTACCTTATTTGTTTTCTAAATGCCTTGTGGATAATAGTCGAAAAAAGTGTTAAAACCTTTTTATCTCTTTTCAGTTATTGCTGTCATGACAAGCCTTTCAACATTGATATTATAACACTAACACTTTTCTGTTTTGCTTTTCTTTGTTTGAGTAAATTACATTAACCCCCTTTGAGGTTTGATTAATTTAACTGCTCTTTCCGGAAAACATAAACAACCACTCCTTTTTTTTGTGGCATACTATTGCTAACCCTTTTTTTTATTTTTAAATTTACATTATTTTACCTTGTTTTTATATGCTTCTGCGATATGAGAAGACAACATGGTTCAGCACTTACTTCAGTGATACCCATTACCCAGTTCATTTCCAATGCAAGCCCTACAGATCTTTATTTCTTCCATGTTAAAAATTTGTCTTTAAATTCATGCTTGGTGGAAATTTGTTTTGCCTTGTAATTTCAGCAACCATTTTTTCCTTGGGCAGAGCCAATATTCCAGCTATGTATTAAATTCAGACTATCTAGATTCTGGACTAGTAATTAATTATGCATCCAATAGTCAATGTGTGTTTTATCTTAGAAAAGTTCATGCATGTGTGTTTAGTCAGTGACATGCTTTAAGGCGTAGTGGAACTCAGCAAATGATATGTCTTTTGCTGTAAGCCCACAACCATGGTTTAGTTTCTATTTAATTGTCCCTGTGGCTGAACAAATTTTTCAATTAGATTCTTAGGTCCCACGCATTTTGTACACAACTCTAATTCAATGCATTTTTATCTTATGGCAGAAAATGAAAGCATTTGCCTATTTAGTTTTTCCAAATGCAATTGTTTCGGTCCTACCGGAGAGATCATTGCAGGCGGGTAGTGAGCCTATGACACATGGAATCATGACTTCTGTTACACAGGGTGCTATGTCAGGTATTCTGCCACAGATTCTTTAACCTTTTCTTAGTTAGTTCCGTCAATAGGAATTGTTTGTGCCACATGTTTCTATTTTTACCAACATTAGCCTAGTGCTTGAGCATATGTTTGCATAGAATGTGCTGTGTAGGTCTTATTTTCTACTGTGAAAATGAATGGAACCGCACCACCAATTTTATTAAATTTTAGAAAAATTGGAATTGTTGAACTAGAGAAAGAAGACATTATACTTCTGAATTTTATTGAGTAAAAACGAGTTGACTTACTGAATCAGTTTACAAGATGATATTTGTGCAAGAGGGAAAGCCAACCTGATTAGCTTGTACAACAAGCTATTAACTAACTAACTAACAGATTAGCTTGCACAGCAAGCTACTAACTAACACATCTGTACACAAGAAACAATTAGAAGGAAAAGCCGGCTGTCTTGCAGACAGCAAATATACAATAGAGTAATATACTTCTGGGAATAACCGAAAAAAATATTTTAACCATGTAAGGTTGGGGAATTGATTGTATGTGGAGAAGGGTGGAGACTAAACCCCACACCACCTTCGACACTCCTGTCTTGAGACAATTAACCTAAGTTAATTATAAAAAAAAATACAAATTAAAAGTACTTTGCCCTTTTCTTTAACAAGCATTTTTAAACTTAACAATCCAAATAAAAGACCTTTTATCACATAATCATAATAATGAGTGAAAAATTAATATAAGGAATATTTTTATTAATTTTCTTTTACTGATCCTAAGAAATCAAATTCAAAAGTATCAAATAACGAAGGAAATCTATTTTATGAGTTCGTTAAAGTGCTTCTGGTGGGTCTGAGTGTTCATCCTATCTCTTTATTACATATTTTTGGGCTAGGCCTGGTGACCTAAATAATCATATAAAAATGAAAATGTCAAAATAGGGTTTTCACAGTAATCTAATTAGTTTTCTATTTAATTTTCTTCTAGTGGATGATTATCTTCACTGCCTAGAACGAGGGCGAGCTGCTAGTGCAAGGTTGTCTGAAATTTTGAGGAAGAACATAGGGCCAAAATCTACAAGTGGGGCATCTAAAGCTGGGTGATTTCCAATCATGTTGGATGTAGTTAATTAGTGTCTAATTTTTCCCTGTAAGGGCTGGGGAGGATGGGATTTCTCTGCAGGTAGTATTACATTCACATTCATGAAATTATCATTTCCTGTTCTCTTGGATAGTTCTGTATTAGTTGTCCTTAATTTATTCCTCTGTTCAAATTTTTCATGAATCGTTCTCTTTTAATTTAAGCAAGGATTACAATTTGGTGTGCTCAAAGAAGAAAGATTCGAATTATTTGTAGAAGTTATGTGATGAATTTGTATGATTCTTTATGACTTTTGGGTGTAATTATTTTGTTAATTTGTTTGCATCATGGTTCCCATTACAAGCTTACAGCTTTTGTATGGACTATGGGAGATTAGAGAACTGCCAGAACTGCCATTTTTCATACGCGTGCTATTACATTAGGCTTGATTACCTGTAAATATATATTTTTTAATTTAATCCTTTTTTAGTTTATGTTTTGATCTGTATTGTTGTGTACTGTCCATATGTTATACTGGAGTCACTTGAAAGGACAGGTTCTTGTACATCACTTGGTAGTTGTAACTCGTAATTGTGTGATATGGTTAGATCATTTGCAAGGGGAAATTCGGGAAGTTGAAAAAAAGGGCAAACAACTTGCAATAAAAGTAATTACTGTAAGATAGTTCACAATTTACAACAAGATGACCACAAAATGTGATGTAGGATGAAATTTTTAAAGGAAAAAAGAGATATCAATTAATTACAACAAAGAAACACACGTTCCTACTTTATACAATAACAAGCATAATGAGTTGAGTTGAGCCTTCCAACTTAATGCCTTCCTCCTAAACCATGAACCATTCTCTCTGCCTGGAGTTTTTATTCCCTTATAAAAACATGTTTCTCCTAAATCCCTTCTTTTTTATCCACATTAGATAGTGACGGAGATCCATCGTGAAGCCAGTTGACTATAAACTTAGGTCAAAACCGTGAAACCACTTGGATTGTCACTATTGGAGATTGTAAAAGCAAAACTAGGACAGGTTGGCTGGTCTGGTTAGTACATGACACGATTGAATATAAGGATGTTATGTATCTACATAATTATTATCAATTATCATTGGATGTTTATTCTCCCATTTTGCACAAAAGACATAAATTTAAGTAAGGCACACTTGTGAAGAACAATTCGAATAACAGATGACTTGTCCTATTTTTTCCTTTATTAATCTCCATCATTCATAACCTCGTGCAACAACACATTCATTATGCCACTTGTCAATTAAAAAATGCCCCAACTTATTGCCAGCTAATTGGATTCATCATTTTTTGGTTTGGTTTTAGTTACAAGTTCAATAAAAATGAAGAAAATGCAAACCATGAAGAGTTGATATATATATATAGTGACGTTGTATTGAAAGTAAACTTTTCCAATAACAAATTTCTTATCCACGCGACAAAATAATATAAAAAACTCTTTTAAAGCTAAAACATTAATTTAATTTAACTTGACAACCGTAAATATTTTTAATAGATATTTATTTTTTATTTAATAAAAAAATATAACTAGCTCCTACCGAATCGTCTTCTATAATTAAGTGATACCTCTATACGCTAAGAATAGAATTTCAATCTTTCTATTATGGAGTACAAGTCTCAAATCACATTTACTAACTTTTTAATTTATTGTTACCTACATAAAAATGATGCATGCTAAAATTGTCAACTTTTAATTTATTTTCTAAATTCTGAAATATAACTTTTAATTATAATTTTTAATATTTTTTTTACCGAGCAATAAGCCTTTATTATAATGGTGCAGACGGTAAACATTAATATTTTTTGAAGAAACCCATTTCATTTATACAATGAATTGCTTTTGTGGTTCTCCACTTGGCTACTTGGAGATCATTATTGGCCTCATCAAGTTGGAGTGAGTAACTTGCAACTCATCTCAATATTCTAAAAGCTAAAACAAGAAAGTAATAGACAAATGAAAATGAACAACATTGTAACAAAGCTGCTTATGGTGTACCAAAACACATCCATGAATATCAAAAACCTACTAAATAGCAAAAAAACCATTGGTGCTACAATTATCCATAAACGCTCATGCAATCGATGCCCTTCAACTGGCAATGGTCACTTCAAATACAATGGAAGAACAGATAGGCAATGGAAGAAGAAACAGCATATTAGAATAGGAAAGGGACGTCTGCATGGTAAGGTACATTCCTATGTAAACAGTCAAAGGATTATTGAGGAAATGAAAAATCTGGAGTAACAACACTTGGTAACAAACACAACTGCAAATGTAATCCATGGAAATCCAAACTGGACCAGGCATTTATGTGACATTTGAAAGCTCATATTAAACTTTCTGAAGGTCCTAATACTACTGTTTCAGAGCTCTCAAAAAGCAAAGAAATTAACCAAAAAAAAAAACATTCAACAAAGGGTCTGACAATACCCCAATTTTCACAGTGCATCCTTGTACAAACCATTCACAACTGCTTCAAAAACAGTCACATCAACCTGTAAAATATACATACACAGCAATCAGTAACAGCATAATTGAATTCTACTGTAGTGGACAAATAGGTAAATGAATTAGTGGCATAACTTATGGCAATCTTTTTTCTATAAAGGGCACTAGAAATACTGCACATTATGTACACAAGTAGAATGAATAGTTAAATAAAAATAAGAAAACAAAAACCGTATGCACAATTAATTGAAAACTCCCTATAAGGGACAATTTACAACAACAAAGCCTCTTATTATCCCATTAATAATATATAAAGGTACCTTTTTGTTGGTTGATTAGAATTTGGATTAGTTCCTGTACAAATAGAAATAGATTTAAAACAGATGAGGCGGCGAAACGTGTTACTAATAATATACTTTTTTCCCTAACCTGAAATTTTATCAACATCTTCCATTGGTGGGAAACATCATTTGTTTACAATGCAACCAACTTACAGACAATTATGTATAAAAGCATAAACATTCAGTTTCACTTTCATAGATCACAACCCTTGACAAGAACTAGAAGGGCCATTATAAATTTGAAAAGAACTTTTTCCTGCCACTCACCATTGCTATTCACCACGTTTGTGAATACAGTCCAGGTATTTACCACCAGTCACCGGCAATATATTGCCTGATCAATGTGAGGTGGAATTTGCTTTATTTCAGTGCCAAGCTCTTGTTCAATCCTGTATCTGGACAAAATAAATGGAAACACATGAGGAATTTATAGGAGTTATCTCTGAAAGTCATAGCTAACAGAAATACTTACAAATTGAAGCGATCCTCATAGGTAATCAAGTTCACTGCTAAACCTAGGTGCCCAAACCTGCCTGAACGACCAACCTGTATATCAACAGAACATCCATAAGAACACCAAATCATATTATCAAGATAGGGAAGAAGGCAAAGATCAAGCATACCCTGTGCAGATAAGTTTCTGAGTTCTTTGGAAAATCAAAATTAATAACAACGTTGACTGCTTGGATGTCTATTCCCCTAGTGAAAAGATCTGTGAATGTTTCAGAACAAGGACGACAGACGAAAAGTTATAATTATAATTATTGGGACATAAAAAAATCTGGCGGTTCAATCATGCAGATATACTCAACTAAGGAAAATACAGCATGCATTATCACTCAAAAAATACCACCAGTGCATTAATAAATTGCACCAACTTAACCAAACAAATATGCATTATGCTATTATTCTTATCAATTCAAAACTAATTTCTAAAACAATATAATGAAAATAGTATCAGAAATATAAAAAGAAGCTAATACTGTTGCATATTGGAAAAGGTCAAATCTAGCCAGATAGTTGCTTAACAATCAACGGAATAAAATATAAACACTGCCCATTTATAACAGGATGTTAAAGTGCCTTCAACATACCAGTACAAACAAGATTTCTGCAGGCACCGTTGCGGAAGTCATGAAATACTCTATTACGGTGGTCTTGCAACATCTTTGCATGGATATAGAAGCATGAATACCCAAGTTCTGTGATTTTCTTGGCGAGAAGTTCAACCCGATTCACGGAATTGCAGAAGATGATTGACTGGTTAATTTGCAGCTGGCATAGATACCATTGTTACTATTATATTCAGACTTCACATACAGAAAATCCAGAGTATCTTGACATAAATATAATACCTTAGAGAAAAGAGTATTTAGGCAGTGGACTTTCTGCCTCTCTTCCACAAATGCGTAATATTGTGTAATACCTTTAAGAGTTAGCTCATCCATAAGGTTAATGACATATGGCTTACGAAGATATCTGTCTCTGAAGTCCTTAACAGTAACAGGAAATGTAGCAGAAAACATCAGAATTTGACGGTTTCCAGGAAGAAATTGAATCAGCTGCTCTATTGAAGGTTGGAACTCTGGGGAGAGAAGCTTATCAGCCTGAGAAAAATTAATAAAGCCTCAGATTGCTGTCACTTTTTTTTTCATTGGATAAACAGAATTTATTATTAGGGCAGATTTTAAAGGTATATATGAAAGAAAAAAAAAGAAAAAAAAATAATAAAAGAGTAAACCCAGAAAACTAAGAACAAGAAACATGCAATATAGCAGCATGTCAATCTCTTCATACATACATAATCCAAGTAAACAGTTTAAGATTTCATTTAACCAAATACATCAAAGAACTGTAAATAAAGAACAGCACCAAAGTTTTTCGGCATCTCTGATAGTGCCAAATTCCATGAAATGAACACACAAGATTTCAGGAACATATGAAGATCCTTGGAGCAAACCCAATCTAAAACAAAAATATCAAATGGGTAATTCCAATAAAAAAGAAACCTCTGACAATGCGAGTATGAAGCCAGAGGTATCAATGTTAAATGTTCGAAGAATGAACATGTAAAAGACACAGGAAAAGATGTTTTGCTCAATATTTACGACATGAATCAGAGACACAATAAACAGAGCCATTGCTTCCACTAACACAATTCAACCATTGCTTACCCTCATCTTAAATCCATTTTAATGTTATAGCAAACTAACAGTATCAATTAACTAATGCTTTTTGCTTCTCTAAGTGAACTGTTACTACCTCATCCATAACAAGCATAGAGCAATCTTTCAGAATGCAAACACCCTTCTTTGCAAGATCTAATATCCTTCCTGGAGTTCCAACTAGTAGATGAACTGGTTGATATAAGCGCATAATATCATCTTTCAGGCTGGTACCACCTGTTGTAACCATAACTTGAATTTGCAAATGTTTTCCAAGCTCTTTACAAACTTGAGATGTTTGCAAAGCCAGTTCTCGTGTTGGGACCAATATTACAACTGCATGACAGAATATAACGAAGGCAATGATCAAAACATGAGAAGAACCTAAAATCAATGCTCATTCAAAAACATTTGAGATTTTAGATAACTACAAATAACAGAAAAAATGATCATGCATCAATAATACAAGTAAAGATATACTACTTTCAAACTTTGGCACCAAAATCTATTTACATGTCTTACAAGTAAAAATAGAAAAAAGACTGGTAGGCCATAACACATTTGTGTTAAACAACATTCAATATTTTTGAATAGGAAGAAATTATTAGATATGCAGAAGACTAGAGTACCTTTACATAATTTATATATTCATCAAATGCGAATATTCTTAACAATATTGATCTTCCAAAATTCATATTTATAGTTAAAATAAAGATAAAGTTCTTGGAAAAAACTATTCAGAAAGCTTCAGGGGCTGATTGTTAAAATTTTAGAAGAAACTGCTATTTCTAGTTTCTAAGAAAAACACTTTTTTAATTTTTTTGAGTTTTAGCTTTTTACCAAAAAAACTTACAAAAGTATCATAATCTAAAAAAAAAATGACTTCATAAAGAAAAAAACCTTGAAGAAAATAAACTCAAAGAAGGCCCATGGTATCTTTCTGGAGTCTGGTAAAAAATGCTGAATGAAGATGAGGAAATTAATATGACCATATTCTAAGTTTGTTTTCTGTGAATACTCAGGAAATATTGTTACTAAACTTGCTGGACCTTCCCTATCATAAATATCATTTTCTTTTCTCACTGTCTAAGTTTTAATAAGAAAACACTGATTAATGAGACCAACAAGCATCAGCAAGCTACCAGAAGAAAAGCTTACAAACTGAGAACAATAAACATAGTCTTTTCATTTAGATTTCTGAGCATCCTGTAAGCAACTAAATGTAGTGAAGGAGGTCAAACCTTGAATAACATTATTATCCTGATCAATTTTTTCCAATGCTGGAATACAAAACGCAGCTGTTTTGCCTGTTCCATTTTTAGCCCTAGCAAGAATGTCACTTCCAGTAAGAGCAATCGGAATGCTCTCTTCTTGGATAGGAGATGGTCTTTCAAAACCTTTCTCATATATTCCCATAAGCAGCTCGCGCTTCAAAAAGTAATCCTCAAATTCATTTCCTTTAGTTGCCGTCACATCCTGAGAAAGACAATGAATAAAGCTTAAGACTAAGATAAATGTGTAGTATAAAAGTTAATAATTCTTAACATCATTAAATAAAAGTTTAAATGAATAACTTATAGTTGATAAGATCTGCCAGACCCTCAAATAGATATAAAAGTATAAGAATATAAAACAGAAATATAACCACACTGGGATATCTAGCATATAATTTAGGATAAAATTCAGTTTCATTAAACAAAATTAAACCTCCAAGGTTGCAAAATTAAATGGCACTGAATTCCTTACAAGGAATAAAATCTGAGTTCATTCCGTAGATCTCTAGACTTGCAGCAGTCAGCAGAGTATTAATAGTCAAAAAAAGTTTGTAGTTCTCTACAATTATGACTATATTCTAAATTCTAAAGTCTAATTGTCCAAATTACTGAAAAATGTCAATCTCAAAGGCCTAATTAAAAGAGTATATGTTACTAAAAAAGACACTAATCAACAAAATGCTGGCTATAACATACATAGAGAACCAGCTCCCACAAAAAAATTCTAATATATTAACTAAAAATTAACAATTCTATTCTAGTAACTATACAAAAATAAAACAGTAAGGAATTATAAATAACACAAATAAGGTGTAATTCCCCAAGGATTTCAAACAAAATATATGACTAAAATATAATGTATATTTCATATGACAAATCACTTTGACCAAAAGATAATGGTTTTCAATTTTTTTAGAGCCATACCTCTGTCTTATAGCGTGTATCAGGTGGTGGAATCTTTAATCTTGCCTTCCAATCTTGCGAACTAACAAACAAAATCAATTGAGGATTAAATTAAAATGATTATTTCTTTAGGCAAGAATCACTACAAAAGCTTTATCTAGCAGTAATATAATTGAACTTTACATGTCATTTCCAAACATTTTTCACATACTCAAAATTGAGCAAACATCTCTCCAACCCGTACAAAATTTTCAACATCAAGGCACAAAACCTCAGCTGAAGACAATTGAACATTATCAACTCAACTTTGCATTTAAACATAAATATACAACAGAAATCAATGCAATTATGTATGGTCATGTTAGACATCGAATTACATTAAGAAAAGCATCAGAGCCTAGAACCTCATTAAACAGCAGTCAAACATTTAGTTTTACCTCTACTGCTCAAATTTGCGTTTCAACAATCATTTACAACATAACTTGCAACGTCTTCTAAAATCCATGATTACACGAAAAATGTTCTGATCCCCCACAATTTAAAACAACAAGAACATACTTCACTACATAGAAAAAAGCAAAAAACCTCAAGAATCGCTACCCTTCCCCAACAAATTAAGTAAACCACAATGTTGCCCAACAGATTATGTTCACCATTAAAACAACGGAAAAATAAGCCAAAAAATCACAACATATCAGAATCACAAACACGCCACATTAGCAAACAACAACTACACATCCCCACATGAGAAGACAGACTTCACTCCAATAGTTAAACATCCTCTACACCCTTGGACAATAGGCAGTCAACCACTCACCCACACAAGTAACTAACAATTGAAAACACATCTTGACAAAACCTAACCCATTCTAACCCCAGAAAACTCAACAAATCCAACACCACTCAATCACTCAAAAATCCCATCACATCACACAAATCACTCCAACAGACACACACAAAACATAATTTCCAAAGTTCCAAATTGCGAATCAAGAAATTGTGGACAAATGCGGCCACAATTGTAGTCGTGATGCGGTTGTGGAGAGTTCAAAAGCCTCAACATTGCGGCCAAAATCGCAGTGGTGGACCACTTTTCTAAAACCTTGGAACTAATGTCAACAAATCAATCTGACAGAGTCCCAAAATAAATAAACAGACACTGAGGCACAATAACAAAAAAGAAAAAGAAAAAAAAAACCTTGGGTCAACGGCTTCAGACTGTACAGTCTTCTCAACCTCCTCAACAACGTTTGTGTCGGTCCCACCACCTAATTGGTTCCTTCTCAACCACTGTTGCTGTTGCTGCTGCTGATGATGATGATGCTGTTGTTGTTGATGATGATGCTGTTGATGATGTTGCTGATGATGATGTTGTTGATGATGATTCTGTTGATACTGCTGCGGATGATGCTGCACCATGTGCCTCTGCACATACTGATGGTGATGTCCCCTCGGTTGAAACCCATGGTTCGGGTTCAAACCTCGACCTAACCCCATCCCAGGTGGGTATCTCTCTCTATTGTTCTCTCTATTGTTCATCTTTCCGATCTAAAACTGAAAAAAACAAAAATTCTACGCAAAAATAAACAATGTACAAGATGGTGCTACACACTACCTATCTAGGGTTTCTCGAGGGTCGTTGAATCCGGAACCCCGCGAACGGCGAATTCTAGAAATGGGGTTGCGATTGGGGTCTAACCTAGCAAAATCCGAGAGGAAAAACCTGGAATTTCTTGCAGGGACCCAAAAAAAATTGGGTAGGGTTGTGATTTGGAGCGATAATTTTGGGGAAAAGGGGGGATTTGTACAGATCTACGGCAGTTGGGGAGGTTGATTTGTGATTGGAGGCAGAGATTTGTTGAAGGGGGCGAAGAAATTGAAGAGAGGAAAAGAGAGTGCGCCTTTTTCTTTTTGTTTGTGAGAAAATGAAATGAAAATTGATTAGGGCGTGAAATTGGGTTCTTGTGATTATTGCTTCATAGCATTGGCCCCTCTTTCTCTCTCATTTTATTATCTCATTTTCACACACTAGTTTTTATTTATCTTCCTTGTTTGCAATCTTGTACATTATGGATCATTATTCTCTTGTGAGATAAATGCTGCCACATTATAATATAATAGGGTTGCTTGGTTGGTTGGGTTTTAGCATTAGAAGTTAATATCTTTTTTAAGTAATTATGAACTAATAGTAATTTATATAACAATTATCTTTCAAAAAAAAAATTCATACATTGATTTATATAATATTGTTTTTCTCTAATTTTTTTATTTTTTTAATAATCATAGCATTAGTATAAAATATTATATTAAACTTTGTTAAAAATCATTTTTTACGACAAATCTTTGTTGAAAATTGTTAATCCTTATAAAAATAAATATTTTCCTATCAATATAGTTATTTCTACTTTTTAGCTTGTATGTATTATGTATCATTTATTTATGGAAAAGATATTCGAGAAAGAAAAAAAAAACTCACATACTTATTTATGTATTCTTTTATTATGTGAATTTTACTCGATAATGTCTATTTTAATGAATACAATAAAATATGTTGTTAATAATTTTATAATGAACATTTTTTTAAAATTTAGTTGAATTTGGTTTAATATAAATATTTTTATAATATCATTTAATTAATTAATTTTACATGTAAATTTTGATTTAATTTAACTTAGCTTAGGTTGAATTAGTTTTCATTTTGTCAAATATTTACAAAAACATAATATTTAATCAAATTATATATATATATATATATATCAAATATAAATTTAAACTAATTTTTTTAAATAGAGAGTATGCACTCTCAATTGTACTTTCCTTTATTTATAATATTAAATTTGAGATCTCATTTAAAAAATTAAACCTAATTTCATTTACACAAATATAATGTTTGATAGAAAATCTCTTGAATATAAAGACAAGAAATATAAAGTTCAATTTAAAGCATAATATATTAACATAAGAAAAATATTTTCTTTTTTTCTTTTGATTGATATAGTTGAAACTTTATTGCATAGTCTATGATAAATAATTTATATTATCACACTATATCATTTTTAATTATTGATATTTTAGAAAAAATATTAAAATTTAATTTAAAAATAAAAATAATAAATTAAAAAGATAAGAGATTAAAAGAATCTCCAAATATATTCTCATTAAATAAAAATAGTTAAAATTTTATTATTAAATAATGATATCTAAAAATATTCTTATTCAAAATAATTATTGAATTATGATAATTTATATAGTAAAAAAATAATTTATTTATTTATTTGATGAATAGATTAACTGTTTTGAGACACAAAAATAGTTGAATTTAATTTTTCGCCTCCCATTCCATCAAGCATTTGTTTATAATGTATGCATAATCAATAATAAAATCATTTGATTAATTTGCTGAACTTTGTTGATCAAATGATTAGGAACACTGTTCGCTTTCTTACTTAAAGATTTAGTCTTGTTTGTATTCGGCCCAGTATCATAAAATTTAATATATTTTATTTTTGTTATGTTACACTTTTTGAGTAAATGGTGGGGCCCAGGCCCAAAAGAAAATGAAAACACTTATCATGTATGATGTATCTATCCGGTCCCAACTTCCGAGTGATGTTTTCAAATTTTATGATGTGTTTGGTAATCATTTCTTTTTCTTTTTGTTAAATAATCCTTTTCCTTCACAAAAATTCTCCCATGAATCTTCTTTTAAATTCTAATTAAAAGCTTTGAATCCAAAATGAGCTAACCAGAGTTTGGTTCCCATAGACATGCTTAATGTCACAACACTATTAAATATTGGTAAATTTTCAGCACACTGTTTAACCTTTTTATAAAGAATATTACTATTGGGTTATGATTATGAATGATTTCAGTACTAAAAGTAACGAAATCATCACGAATTTGTTTTATTGGTTACTTTATAAGTTAAAATCATAATAGATAATTACTATAAAAAAATAAATCAAGGGTGCTTTGTGATATAGTGGTTTTTGGAATCATTCGTCTTGGGCGTTTTAATATTTTATAAACAGATATGCAAGACTTTAGCATATATTGGGCTTTTGATTTGAAAAGTTTTAAATTATGGTTCTAGAGTTTTCGACTGAAAATCAAAACATATAATTAAACAGCTTTGATTTATTGAATGTGATTTATAGTTTCAGCCTTTCAGGACTTACCTCAACTTTCTTAAACCATATGAACCATTTTATTTTATTTGGGTTTGTGTTAAATATAGTTGGTTCAATATAACTTAATTTAGAGTCTTGAGTTTAAATAGTCGAAAGTTTGAAGAACAAAGAAAGATCTTTAACGTGTAATATATATATATATATATATATATATATATAATTTTTTTTGTGATCTTGTTTTCCTAACTCTAACTTTCCAAGTGCCCTTGTTTAGAGACTTGTAACTAATCTTGTATATTCGTTTTTGTAAGGTATTAAAATGAGAAAGAATGAGAATTAATCTAAATGAAAAAGGCGTTGAGATTGGTTTTCGTTTAAATTTTATGTAAATTTTTTAATGAGTATTAATTCAATTTAGTTTATGCTTTGCCTTCTTGTTAATTTATTTATATCTTAATTTCTTAAGAAAAAAAAATTACTTGACTTCCTTTAAGTGAAATTAATAAAAAGTACAAGGATTGAGCTTAGAAATCCTTGATGAGATATGGTAATGGAGAGGACTGTGGCAGTTTCTTCTGCTGTGATACATCACATTCTTCAATAGTTTCTTTTGTTTTTCTTATTCTAGTTTCTAACAATTTGGAAGCCAAGTTTTATTGTCCAATTTGCTTATTTACATGGTTTAATAGAAACAAACAACCATGCATAGTAAACAAAGCATTTCTCAAGCTGAGAAATGCTTTACTTGTTGGTGATCTAATCCACATTGATTAAAGATATACTCACAATAACGAGAACAATCATTACTTTATAAGTTAATTTTATATTATTGAATTAGATTCATAATTCACTTTCTCAAGGACTCCAACTCTTGGATGAGGATTCCAACACCAATCTTGTTTTCATAAACATCCTTGGATGAGGATCCCAACTCTTCTCTCAGTCTCTCAATCTTTTCCTTCAGTGCTTTGACATCCAATGCAGCAAGAATCCTCTCCTTAATACCTTCCTCCATCTTTTGTACATCCTCAGAATTTGAAACTCGAGCTATCTCATTCTCCAACTCCTTGATTTGGCCCTTAAGACCTTCTTCATTTACCACTCTATCAATTTCACTCATGATCTCATTCCTCAACTCTGTTATCTTCTCTTTAACATCTGGTGGCGGACTCACCACACTTCTCTCGACTACCCCAACAATCTCCAAGTTGGCTGATTTCAACACCTCTTCCAACTCCTTCATGACTTCCATTGCTTTCTCCACCAATTCCTTGTTTGGTGACTCCCCTTTTGGTACCTTTGCCAATGCAACCTTCAAGTTTTCCATCTTTGCTTTGGTGTCATCACCAAGTTTCTGATTCAGCTCTTGTTTCAATTCTTCTTGTTTCAACTTCATCTCAATGAGCCTGTTGGCATTGTCCAGCTTCTGAAGCTTCTGTTTCAATCCAAGATAGGCCGCTGGCTGAGACATCTTGGTCTTCATTTCTTTCACTATTTTGTCCACTTTCTCCTTTAAGTTGCTATTGAGGGGTTGGTTTGAGGAGACTTTAGATAGTTCCATCTTCGCAGATTGAACTTTTTCGGCCAAATCCATTGAAATGAGTGCTTCAGTTATCTCTTGGTCAGCTTCTTTCACCAGCTTTTGAAGTGCTTCCTTTGTGAGTGAATCAAGTTCAACCGGTCCTTTTGCTTCTAAAATTTTCTTCTCGAGACTTTGGAGCTCTGACTCAATATCACTGATCTTTGTTGAGTTGACCTCAGATGGCTTCATGTTGCGTTTCCTCTCTGGTTCCACAGGTATGCCTTCTTGGTAGCCTCCAGTTGACCGAAACTTGAGATGTCTATGGTGTAGCAACTCCTCTGCATCCATTTTTGTCAACTCCTGTGGAAATTTCATGTTTTAATTTGTGAGTGGTAGGTAACTAGGGAATTGATAGAGAGAAAATGCAACCTCCTCTCACAAGTAACAAGAAGAAAAAGTGATTAAGCATAAACAGATGCAATTATTAAGTTACCTCCATGGCCTGAGTGATTGCAAGCTTGATTTGTTGAGAAGTCCATGTAGGATCAGCATGTGCCCCACCTAGTGGCTCCTACATGTATATATCATAATAGTTACATCAACATTATTTAGTAGAGAGTTGACCACATTTTCTTTTCAACATATTTTTAGTGAAACCTATAATTTTTTCCTTGAGAAATTTAGGGGGAGACATTTAGTATCTCATAAGTCACGATACAAGTATCTCAGGTTGGTCCTTCAAAATCAGATATGTCGATCATATTACTCCTTAAGTAGGGGACATATGAGTCCTTGAAAAGGACAAATAGTCAAATATGTCCCACGCTTGAGATTTCTAAGGACTGGTTTAGATTATTTGCATTCTTAAGAACCACTTTGTTTATATTTGATCAAATATTGAAACATAGTGGCTGCTGGCTGGAAAGGGAAAGCACAGCAAATTATCAACATTCTTACAGGAATGACACCATCAGCTATTCCGAGTCTGTAATGTTCTTGTGCTGTTATTTTTAGCTTTTCAGCTGCCTACACAAGTGAACTTTAATTAATTGAAAAATAGTTGTGAAGACATTCTCGAGCCACAAAAGTATATATTACAATTGATAACTAACCTTAGGAGAGGATTTGGATGATTTCCACAATATTGCAGCACAAGCTTCAGGACTGGTTAGCATAAACATGTTAGATCAATATAAACTTTTTTTGTCAAAGGAAAATCAGCCATAGGTGAAAATGAAAGCGCAAATTAGTAAACTATGTGGGCCACTTTCATGCTGCAAGAACATGCAGAAATGATTCATAAGTTAAAAACAAGATTTTGGAGAATCTAATATGAAAGAGCTTCTACAAATTACTTTATAGAGAGTAGAGACTTATTTCATTTTTTCTTCTTATTTTCTTCTTCTATAAGTGTTTATAGAGAAGTTTATTCAAACAGATTTTAATATAATGACAAGTTAACTTGTTCATTCTTACATTACTATAGAATTGGTTGGTCGATCCTACACATGAAGAAGGTCTACTAACTGTTGCTAGTTTCTAAACTACTAACCACTACATTAAAGATATATAAATCTATGCTGTGCTTTTTTTCTTTGATGATTTTGCAACAGAGGTGTAAGATGTATATGTAAAACGTAATTTACTAAGAAAGAACAATAAAAGTATGGAAAAAAATGCCTTGTAATGGTTACCTTGCAACATAAAAGGCAGAGTTCTCGAGCATAAACAATTTATTTGCACAGGCAATGGCAAGTGCACCACCTGAACCACCTTCCCCAGTTACCACTGTTATTATTGGTACCTTGAGACCAAACATAGTCCTTAAATTTTTGGCTATCGCCTCACCCTGCATAAGCAAAATTAACCAATGTCAAGTTAAGAGAGTAAAAGTGTAATAATCCAAACTAGTAAGGTCAAGCAAGGACAATATACACACACACTTGACCAAGTTCCTCAGACTTTAGATCAGCAAAGGCCCCAGGAGTGTCAACAAATGTAATGATGGGGAATTGATGGTGATCAGCATATTTCATCATGCGCAATGCTTTGCGGTAGCTGCTTGCAAATTACCAACATCTTTATTCAAGATTGATCAAATCATGAAAATTTGATATAAGGAAGAAAACTAGTACAAACCATTAATCCTCTAAAACAGAAATGTCAATAAGTTAATCACTCATACCACCATTGCTTCAGTATTTAATAACTTATTAGAAAAAACTTAGATACAGTACCATAAGTATTATTGATGATGTTTTCCAATTAGAATTGAAGTTTTATCTCAATAATACGCATTAACAATTGATGGAATCCTTTGTTATGCATATTAACAAGGTGAAACTCAAACTTTGGTTAGAGAACAACATCAAAAGCCTGTATAGTATTGCATGTAAGTTTTATCCTTACTTTATTTGGGGTATAGTCTAATCATTAGAATAGTGAAGCATACCCATGAGGAGTTGGCATTGCAAAGTTGCGAGCAATGTTTTCCTTTGTGTTCCTACCTTTTTGATGGCCAATAAAAATGTAACTCTTTCCATCTATACTCCCTATACCAGTCACAATTGCTGGATCATCATAGCCAGCACGGTCTCCATGAAGCTCAAGCCACTAAAAGTTTCCAAAAGGTAAAATGAAAAGCAGTGAGAAACTATCAGCAGTTGATTGGAAAGGTGGTGAGAGTAAAGATACCTTGTCTGTGATATTAAGTATATGATCAAGAACTGTTGGCCTATTGGGATGTCGAGCAATCATCAACCGTTGAATAGGTGTTAAATGCTTGTATAGATCTTTCAGAGCCTAAGCTCAAAATGAAGAAAATTTGAGTTATGATAATGTGAAGTTATGCAGGAGTATGACAGTCATTTTTATTAATATTTTGTAGCATCAATGTGTAAACAGAAACTGCCATATATAGTGTAGTTACCAACATATATACTTCCTCTATCTTCACTACAATTTAAATAAATTACTTTAAAGAAAGACAAAATGATCCTTTATCTTATTCATTTTAATTGATCATATCGCTCCTAGGCATATCAGGGAAGAAACTAATGAAATAAGCAATAATAATAGGAATATTAGACACTTATAAATTGGATCGTGACAGGGCTATTAAGTTCATCTGGTAAAGTCTCTTCAGGTTGTTCCATGAACCTGGATTTAATTCCTACTTTCATCTGGGGTAGGGGGTTTGATGTGTTTTATTTATTTATTTTCATTTATGAAAAGGGCATCCTTTTGTTCTCCATTAACCAAGAAAATGTTTTCTTTCCAGAACTCTAATCCAAATTGTATTACTAATTCTCTAGAATCACTTTCATTTGGATTATCTGCCAATGCCTAAGAATTGACGTAGTAATAGTATCTGATTTGTTACTTTTAGGTGTCATACACATTCTTCTAACCTCGATGGATTTCTCAAATTAAATTGTATTTTATTTTATGCTTGTTAGGATTACACTATTAGTTTGGTATCAATGGAAAAAGGGAAATATTTTAGTATTTAAAGATGTAGCTCAACAAGTCAACTCTTTCACATAGCTGGAAGATAATAAAAACACAACTTCATTTGGATTATCTGCCAATGCCTAAGAATTGACGTAGTAATAGTATCTGATTTGTTACTTTTAGGTGTCATACACATTCTTCTAACCTCGATGGATTTCTCAAATTAAATTGTATTTTATTTTATGCTTGTTAGGATTACACTATTAGTTTGGTATCAATGGAAAAAGGGAAATATTTTAGTATTTAAAGATGTAGCTCAACAAGTCAACTCTTTCACATAGCTGGAAGATAATAAAAACACAACTTCAAAAGTTTTTTATAGAGGGCATTGATTTTTCTACAATGTATATTACAAGTCCATTGTGCTCATGTAATTATTTTCGGTATCTGAAATTCAGTTAAAGTAATAAGAATTAAGTTTTAAGACATACGAAAGATACCAAAATTATATACAATGAACAGCTGTTCTATAACCTTATAGAAGCATTTGATAACAATTACCTGTTGATACTTGCTCTCCAGAGCTCCAATTTGATTACTAAAGTCTAAACCTGTGTCATCTGCCATTCTACGTACCTGCAAGAAACAAAAGATTAAACAAAACATGAGCAGGGAAAGGTGGTTAAGGGTTGCTTTTTTAGACTATAATATGCCAATGTAATGCTCCTCAAATAACCCAAAAAAAATTACCTCTATAATCTTTTTCTCTAGATCAACCAGTGGCTTCTCAAAATCTAGTGTCACAGGTTTTGGTTTCTCTGCCAGAGGCTTAAAGTGAGACAGGTAAGTTAAATATCCACTACTGATATTTGGATCCATTTTATCAGGCCATGGATAATCATGCTTCTTTCCCTTTATAATCTTTGCAACAACATGAAACTTTTGGTCTTTTCTATTCCTTGAACCGCTTAAATACTTTGGCCAGATAATAAATGCACTTTTGGAAGAACACCCAAGAAAATAATTAGCCAGGTGGTCTTTTCCAAGGCATGGATGTATCAAATCAATGGCAGGATCTTCAAGCCCTCTTCCACTTATATAATTTCCACACATGAGTGACATGGTAATCATCTTCATCAGCTGAAATTCTTGTGTATTGGATGTGCAGAGGATCAAGATAAAAGGTTTCCTGTAAAGAGAAATTTAAATTTAACTTTCACAAATTCAAAAGAGGTACTAAAGCATAACATGCTCGCATGCACAAAATCAAGCATCAGACATCTTAGAGATGCAAATTATTTATTTTTTCCTTTCTTTTTCTACATCTTAAATTTCTAATAATGCTTGCCTTGCAAATGATTGTATTAGAATTTTACTCCAGAGAATCCAGAACACAAAACCTTTTTAATTGTTAAATTTCATTCATTGAGAAGTAGCAAAGTAGAACCGACTCTTTAATTTCCAAACTTATCCATTCCAAAGTACACGTACTCTATTCCTTTACCATAAAATAAATTAAGACAAAATATTACAATGCAAATTACCCATTTTTATGTATGGAAGCTAAGCAGGGTATCTATCATCTATTCATATATACATGTGTGTTAGGTAAATAACTTAATTAAGTTTTATTTAATACGAATTTATCAAATGAGAGTTTATATATATATGCGAGTTTCACCATGAAACTTACTGACTTAAACTAAAAAGGCTTATATTATGAAACTTTTTCATTAAACTCATCGAAATAAGTTAAAAGAAACTCATAACAAGGTCATTAGTCACACTCGTAAAGTCAAATGTGTGAAGTTGGAAACCATTCATAAATTTACCTAATTTTTGTTTAAAATTTTCCCTAC